CGAATTAATTACAAACTTTGTGTACGATGAAAACACAGAAATAGAAAGAAAGAGCAGAAAAGACAGAAAATTTATTATCGTCTCTAGATAGGGACCTCTTTTGAAGTCAAGGAAAAAAGGCAATAAGAGTCGTTAATGTTATGAGAGAGATTTAATTTAGCTTGTATTTAAAATATTAAGCAAAAAACCTATAATATTCAGTCGCGTTTTTCTTGAATTATGGATTTTATGATTAGAATGTTCCATTTTTGCATTGTGAAAATTTAATGACCGTTTTTTTTTTTCACAGCCGTTTACTTATGAATAAAAATTTTTTAAAGGACATATAATTTGTTTAAAATTCATTAGAGAATAATATAACATTAATATAACATTGATTATTTTTGAGACACACTGCAACGTAATATGTTCCTAAAAAGAAACACTGTAATGCGATTGATCGAAGAGAGAACGAGAGTGCGTAACTAGTCGAAGGGCGTCTCCGAAATCGATCGTTGGCGAATCGCGTGATTCTCACCTCATTCCTTTCGGAGCGATGCCCATTTCCTTCGATCGGCCTTCCATCTTGGCCTCAGGAATCTTTCGATCTGTCGGATTTGGGTCGCCACGTCGTATTCCATCTCCTCGCTTCCTTACGAGCTAAGCGAGAATGGCGCTCGATTGTCTGAAGCAATTCGGAAACAAACGTAGGTGCGCCGATGATTATACGTCGGTGAAGTTAACGGACGTGGGGTTTCGCCTCTTTGAAGAGGGGGGGGGATAGACCCGACGTGAGGCTCGGCGATTATCGAGGAACGTGAATGGGTAACACGTGAGCGGTTTGCAAATCTGTACGTCGCCGATTGCGAGACTTCTGTGATTCCGCCGACGATTTTTTGCTTCACGCCGAGACGTGTCTGGAGTGGCAAAGTACGCTCTTAATCTGGGTCTCCGATACGTTAATGGCGGCAGACAGGGGTCGATAACGATCGAGAACATGATGGATGCGAATTCCCGCGATACTCACGGTTTAATATTTCTGAGCTAATATTTCAAAGTGATTTAGGCAAATTATTTTTACAAATGTTTTAAAATATGCGTTCTTACAATTTTTTTATTAATAAAAATAATTATTGATTTTTCCTACTTTTTTTTAACTATAGATAAAAATTACACTTGTGAAAAGCATATGCAGTTTTCTGTTGAATTTAATTTAATGTAATTTATTAAGCATCGAATAAGATAAATGTACCAATTAGTGGACGTGATCTAATTATTAGATAAAATAACAAAGAATTTAAATTAAAAATTTTTAATGATATGTATGATTCTAAATCAAATTGTTATTTATAAAAGTTAAATGTTAAAAAATTAAGGCGAATTTATTTAGAATCAAATATAAATAAATTATCGAACTCTTAAAATTAAACAATTAATCACTCTAAATATTAATAAAATGTGAAAGTCAATCCGCAAGGATTTGCGTAAAATTTATTAAACAATCTTTTATACTAACATATTACATAAATTGATATACGAACGTTTCGACTCAATTCGAGTCATCTAGCGTAAAATTCTCAAATAAGATCAATAAATTTTAGGAAGACCTAGTGATTATTTAGAATCGTATGTATTATTAAAAGCTCAATATTCAAGATTCCTATCATTTCGCTGATACATTTGTCTTATCTATGTATATGTTATGAATCATTATGACACACCATATACATAAAAAAATTAAAACTTTAAAAAATGTTAAATTTTCTACATCTTCGATAAAAGATATCTCAATTTCTTATTTAATCCATCCCTCGATCTTCATATACATATTTTAGTTCAGTCATGCGCGGTCTGCGGCTTATCTGTAAATTTTTTGCGACCTGTCGGCGCCAAGTCGTAGCTGCAGATATAAAATCATATTTTCTTTTATGCAAATGAAATAAGCATTATACAATTCGTCAGTAAGATATTACGTCTTTCTGAAAATAGCTCTCTAAAAATGATCCAATAAAAAACGTATTTTAGTTTATATTTTATCCTATTAGTAAACGTGCAAAATCAGTCGATTAAGGATTAAAAAAGACAGTCTGCCATCCCACTTGAAAACATTCGCGTCGATACAGAAATTGCCTTGATTACAGACTTGCAAATTCAGCTGACAATAACTGTGTGTGCTTCTCATTTTTATTCCTGCCACTCGCGTCAATAAGTGACATTTTTTTTGGATCGGTTAACGAGCCCGTGTACGGTCAGTCCCCAATCAGGCGCGATTGTCCCGCAACGTGTAAGTGGCTTGCTTGTGTAAAAGCGACCCCAAGTTTGGCGCGGTTGGACACGTGTACGTTTCGCGGGCAACCGCGACAGGCGGACGACGGGACATTGCCGCTTGTATTTGGTATATATGGCTCGATCACCCTCGATGGTCGCCTTTCTTCTCGAGGGAGTGAATCGCGTATACCCGCAGCGCGACCGCAGATGATTGTCGCGCGCCAAAAGCAATCGACCCCCTCACCAACTTAGGGACCTTAGGGTATTGAAAGGCTTAAACCACCCTGGATAGTCATATAAATATAATCGAGTCCGGAGTTTTAATAACGGAGTTATTAAAAGTCATACGAGAAGAGAAAAACGCTTCACATCGTTGCTTTGTGTCAATTAATATACTTACATTTATATTAAATCATGTATGAAAATATATCTTCTTTTGTTTAAAAAAAGTGTTATCCCTCTGAATTACATTGGTAATAAAAAATTAATATATTTCCTCTTCTATTTTTCTAAAGTTTATAAAAATGGCTTAAAATGATTTGCCGGTGATGCAATTTTTGATCGTAAATTTTACAAAAGGTTTGATTAAAAGACGCAGTCAAGCGCGCAATCTTCAGCAGTGGACGTTTATTCGCGTCGTATATATGGGGTAACTCTTTCCAGAAAGCAGCAGTTTTTACGGTAACCTGGATACAAAGCCTTTGTAGCCTCTTTCCTCTATCGATATTTTTCGGCGGCAAAAAGCGGAAAACGAGACACTCGTTTGACTTATTTAATTTAATGTAATTTATTAAGCATCGAATAAGATAAATGTACCAATTAGTGGACGTGATCTAATTATTAGATAAAATAACAATTAAAGAATTTAAATTAAAAATTTTTAATGATATGTATGATTCTAAATCAAATTGTTATTTATAAAAGTTAAATGTTAAAAAATTAAGGCGAATTTATTTAGAATCAAATATAAATAAATTATCGAACTCTTAAAATTAAACAATTAATCACTCTAAATATTAATAAAATGTGAAAGTCAATCCGCAAGGATTTGCGTAAAATTTATTAAACAATCTTTTATACTAACATATTACATAAATTGATATACGAACGTTTCGACTCAATTCGAGTCATCTAGCGTAAAATTCTCAAATAAGATCAATAAATTTTAGGAAGACCTAGTGATTATTTAGAATCGTATGTATTATTAAAAGCTCAATATTCAAGATTCCTATCATTTCGCTGATACATTTGTCTTATCTATGTATATGTTATGAATCATTATGACACACCATATACATAAAAAAATTAAAACTTTAAAAAATGTTAAATTTTCTACATCTTCGATAAAAGATATCTCAATTTCTTATTTAATCCATCCCTCGATCTTCATATACATATTTTAGTTCAGTCATGCGCGGTCTGCGGCTTATCTGTAAATTTTTTGCAACCTGTCGGCGCCAAGTCGTAGCTGCAGATATAAAATCATATTTTCTTTTATGCAAATGAAATAAGCATTATACAATTCGTCAGTAAGATATTACGTCTTTCTGAAAATAGCTCTCTAAAAATGATCCAATAAAAAACGTATTTTAGTTTATATTTTATCCTATTAGTAAACGTGCAAAATCAGTCGATTAAGGATTAAAAAAGACAGTCTGCCATCCCACTTGAAAACATTCGCGTCGATACAGAAATTGCCTTGATTACAGACTTGCAAATTCAGCTGACAATAACTGTGTGTGCTTCTCATTTTTATTCCTGCCACTCGCGTCAATAAGTGACATTTTTTTTGGATCGGTTAACGAGCCCGTGTACGGTCAGTCCCCAATCAGGCGCGATTGTCCCGCAACGTGTAAGTGGCTTGCTTGTGTAAAAGCGACCCCAAGTTTGGCGCGGTTGGACACGTGTACGTTTCGCGGGCAACCGCGACAGGCGGACGACGGGACATTGCCGCTTGTATTTGGTATATATGGCTCGATCACCCTCGATGGTCGCCTTTCTTCTCGAGGGAGTGAATCGCGTATACCCGCAGCGCGACCGCAGATGATTGTCGCGCGCCAAAAGCAATCGACCCCCTCACCAACTTAGGGACCTTAGGGTATTGAAAGGCTTAAACCACCCTGGATAGTCATATAAATATAATCGAGTCCGGAGTTTTAATAACGGAGTTATTAAAAGTCATACGAGAAGAGAAAAACGCTTCACATCGTTGCTTTGTGTCAATTAATATACTTACATTTATATTAAATCATGTATGAAAATATATCTTCTTTTGTTTAAAAAAAGTGTTATCCCTCTGAATTACATTGGTAATAAAAAATTAATATATTTCCTCTTCTATTTTTCTAAAGTTTATAAAAATGGCTTAAAATGATTTGCCGGTGATGCAATTTTTGATCGTAAATTTTACAAAAGGTTTGATTAAAAGACGCAGTCAAGCGCGCAATCTTCAGCAGTGGACGTTTATTCGCGTCGTATATATGGGGTAACTCTTTCCAGAAAGCAGCAGTTTTTACGGTAACCTGGATACAAAGCCTTTGTAGCTTCTTTCCTCTATCGATATTTTTCGGCGGCAAAAAGCGGAAAACGAGACACTCGTTTGACTTTGGATCATCTTTTATGTTTCAGAACGACACGATGCAAGTGGTGTGGCAATATCACGTCGAGGAACTCTTTCCTCTATCGATATTTTTCGGCGGCAAAAAGCGGAAAACGAGACACTCGTTTGACTTGGATCATCTTTTATGTTTCAGAACGACACGATGCAAGTGGTGTGGCAATATCACGTCGAGGAGCCGGTATCAGCGGCCGGTATCTTACCTGATCACGGAGCAGTGCGAGGCTCGAGACCGTTGTATCTTGTGCAAAGAGACGCACAGCCCAGACGAAATTCGCGTAATCAGGAAACGGATCCACCTCTGAAGATCTGGGACATTCTGAACAAACAGGTGAGTCATACGGAGCTCTTTTCGTTTAGCATTTAAATCTTTATATCCACAAGATGTCCTGTGTGATAAAAATCATTTTGCGATACGATGAATATACGATCCAGAGATTCTGTCAAGATGAGTGCTTAATGAATGGGATAAACTAATAGAAGAAGGAAATATTTCGTTTCGCTCCAGATGTAATTAAAAGTGAGAGAGAAAGGGAGCAGTTGGTGCACATTGCATTTATTATGATTTGCGTTATTACGACGGCACGTGACAAGAAACAAGAACAAAGTTAATATTCATCCCGACCGCGGAGAAATTCGCGAGTGCGAACAAAGACGATTAAAGAGTTTTAATTAGAGTTCACGAAAGTGGATCTGCCATCGGCGTTGTGATATTGGACTCGATTTGTGCGAAGGGCAGATTCAAGCCCGGTTTCATTTAAGTATTTAAGATAACTAAAGTTACTTTATTCAACCTTCGTCGAAGAATCATCGTCAGCATTGTAAATCGTTATTAACTCAACATTAATTTTAAATCAAGAATATCTAGCTTCGTACTGAAGTTTTCTGAAAACTTGTAGTATAAAAGTAAAAAATTCCAAGAACTTTCTCTCTCTCTCTCTCTCTCTCTCTCTCTCTCTCTTTCTCCAGATTCTTGAAATGTTAAAAACTAATAATTGGTAACATTCAACACTCTTGATTTCTTTAAGGATCTATATGTATTACAGGTATTTTTTAACAAAATGAAAAAATTATGAAACCAATTACAGATTTTTTATACTGCAAAGTTTGTGGCGGAAATTTAGAACTCGAATTAAAAATTATATATATTTCAATAAGTTTTGGTATGTTTTAAAAAATTAATTGAAATAAAGTGAGAAAATTTTCATCTGAACTATAAAATTGCGTTGTTAAACATAAACATTGACCTTTTTTATTAAACTGTTTTATATTTAGAATTCATTTTTGTAGGAAAAGTATAGATCCCAGTCCCAGTCACTTTTTATGGAGACTGTACATCTTTAAGCTTTGAAAGTTGTAAAGTCGGGATTATCTCGTATCATAAACAGAGAACGAGTTAAAAGTATTCACGTACGAAACAGGGAGAAAAATTGGTTTTGCACGATCAGCGTTTTAATGTTTGTAGAGACGCGCGGCGAATTATTCGTTTATCCGGATCCGAGACGCGAACAAGCTTTTTCAAAGCTCTCTCTCCTTCTCTCTCTCTCTCTCTCTCTCTCTCTCTCTCGTCATACGGTTTTGTTTCCGTCATTCGCCGACACGTGTACAGGCCGTGCGTGCGTATGTACGTCGCGTGCGTGAAATGAATGATCGAACGCATTTAGCTGGGTGCGCGCACGACTGGATTTTTATCACGCGGCTGTGTTAGAAAGAGAGGCAGAGAAAGAGACACGGCATTGTGTGCCGAATTTATGACGACATAAATCTTAACCGGGTCACATCCGGCAAAAACTATTCGTTCATTAGCGTCGCTGGGTCGTAGATTACGAGGTCGGCGCTATCACCGAGAATCGGACAATGCTAATTCCACCGTCTGCCCTGGCGCTGTTTATAGTTTATATCGAGACCGGAATCGGGCCACCTTTGCGTATTACGCTCGTTGGCCCGCGAAAAAGTGCAAGATCATTCGCTGGACGTGCTGATAAACGACCCGGAAATGTTGACCATGTAAAATCGTTTGAGACAAGCAAGCGCCTAGCACGAAATGTATTCGCTCGTAAATACATTTCCAGTTTGTCGAATTTTACCATTTTTCGCGAGATTTTTGTGCCCGCTCACGTTACCGAGACTGCGTTACAATCACTGTAGTGGAATAATCGAGATAACAGGGCTATACTTTTTAGCTACATTTGTACGTTGCTTTTCGTCTTCTTTCCTTCTTCCAAGGAACAGTATACATATGTTTTTCTTTTACTTTAGTTGCAACTCGCAAGCAATGTAAAGAGAACTAAAGTAACTAATAGCGAATTCGGCAGATACGATCATTGAGTGCGAACTCTTTCAGTGCCACACATTCGGCTTGTACGCACTGTATCAGGGTGTTCAAAAAAATTGTCGTATTCGACAAATAAAAACTGACCCGGTGTGGTGCTGAATTTATATTCGGGCCAACACCGAATGAACTGAACGAGTTCAAGAAGTGGTGCACCGACGTTTCTGACAGTGCAGTTTGGCATAGCACCAAAGTAATTTCTGCACTCGCACCATGTGAGCGCAGAGTCAGTGCATATGTGCCGAATTCGCCGTAAGAAAACTTATGCATTAATTGCAGAGAAATTATTTCGCATTGTAGATATTAATGTTCCTAAAAATAAATTTTTTAGAGCTATAGAAAGTAATAGATGAAATCGTAATGAAACGTAAAGCATTCAAAATGTTTATCTCGCTCATTATTCACTCGAAATTTTTCTTCAAAATTATTTAATCAGTATTATTTATCCTCTTTCCAATTTTAGTGGCAAAATACTGAAATATATAAGATACGTTACTTTTTTAACTTTTTTAAGTTATTGATATGTTTTGACATTAATGTTTTTAGAGTATCACTGGCGTTATATTTTTATATTTTGACCTGCATTTCTTGTTCGAATATCGCGAGAAAGTTCGCTCTTAACTTAGTACGCAAAAGTTACCGAACGGTCGAGTAACTTTTGTATCGCGCCACGATGAATATGAATAGAAGAATAGGCACAAAGAAGACGAGGCTGATGAGGAATGGGTTTGCATTGCGCTACTCTTTATATTCTACGATATTCTCTTGTTTATCACAGAAGGATTGTTACTGGTTCGTTGATTTTTATATTCTCGCCACACATTTGCGAATATCATCATGTTTGTGTTATAACTCTCTTTGATGAAACATATTAAATTTATTTTAATAAATTTAGAATTAAACGTCAAACATGTACGTGATTATCACAATTATTTTATTGACTTATCGCAATAAATTATTCGAAGATTTAGGATTTTTATTTAACGTTAGATTATTAATTGAGTACAGAATTTTTCTTATTTAATTGGATTAACTCATGGAAGTTTCTGTATTTTATTTTCGGACACTTCACGTCACTTTGTCAACGTTAAAGAAGAAAGATCTTTTCGAAACGACGGAGACAGTTCGCGATGCCTGTTGGCGCAGAAATCGGAAATGCATTCGCGTGGTCCCTAAAAAGCTTTCAGTCGCCCCGGGGCGTCAGTCAACGTGCTCGACCGCAAAACAATAAACGCGCTCGTCCTTCCCGGTAATCTCGACATCGATAATTTCGCATAAGCGCGTGGGAGAATCCGCCGGCGTGGTTCGAGCGCTTAGGGCCAAGAGTCGATCGTCGAAAGAGGGAGAGATGCGCGAAAAAGAGAATTGTAATTTTCTCGGACGGTGTACGGTCGGTCGTCCATACGCCCCGCGGCGAACAGTTCGAAACGACCCACCAGCACCCGGCCTTCCCTACTCTCCCCTCGGGTCTCCGTATTTACCGAGATACATGGTAACGCCGAGCGTGGTTCCATTGATGCGCAAAATCTCGTACTCCACGAGTAATTCGGTAGAATCTGACTTGTAAATAGGAGATACATACAAGACAAGTAGCATAACTAACACTGGTACATATACATATTATTCTTATCCCGTCGCGTGGAGCAGGAAGCGTATAATTAACCAGATCACTTGCAAAACCGCTCAAGTTGTATAATTAGTTGTAATGAGAGTATCGTTGACGAACGCAGGTAAAACAGGTACACTGGAAAAAATACTAATTTTTAATAAATATTTGTTTCAATAGTTCTAAATAAATATTTATTAAATCTAAACTTATATTTGTTTGATATATATAAAATCTATTAATTTAACTTTTTCTTATTGAGTAAATATTTATTTAATATATAATATATAGTAAATATTGTTTTACTATAAGTAAATGCTTGTTTAATATCATTCAAAGAAATATACAATATGTATTAAAATTTAATACTTTTTTTCCGTGATTCTAAAATAAATTTAATCTGTTTTAACAAAAATTTATGGCAGAAATGATATTCTCAAATGTGTGAGAATGTAAAAATTAATGAACCAGTAGCAATCTTTCTAACAAACAGTAGAATATCTGAAGCGCAAGCAAGTTGTTATACCTATTATATCCCATGAAACCTATACACGCTTGACTTTTTTTTTGCGTTGGAGAAAGTTTATAAACTAAATATTTTTCATTTCACCATTTATAAATCTTCTACTCTACATGTCGAAATAATCGAGGTACATCGGTATACAATGCAGCCGGATATAGCTAAGCGTTGTCTACAATATTGCAAAGTACCATTTTGAACAATATGTGTTCGCGCGTAACAATACAGCCTGTGTATATCGAGCGAAACACGTAAAACAAGTAACGCAACTAACGCCGGTATACATGCAGTTCTTATTCTGTTATACGCCGAAAAACTCGCAACACGTTCGTGCACAATGCAGTCGGCCGTGCATGAGAACTGTGCAAAATAGTCGCGTGGCGTGGAAGGCGCCGCTTTGAGACAGGGCGAAATGGGCTCGTATATCACAAAAGCAACTTGCAACCTTGTTACGTAAGTCGCACGCGGCGTCGGAAAATATGGTAATGAATTTCTCGTATATATTTGCGTTTAACTGCTCTTACTCCGTTGTAACAAACCATTAACCTGACGTATGCATCAAGTAGCTAAGACTCCCCCGAATTTTCCCTTTTCCTTCTCGCTACTTATCCCCCCAAAAACTCTTTGTATTTATTAAGTGACAATTACTTTTAACAGAGAGATGAAAAATATAATATTTTCGAAACAATAAAATTGTAATGCGATAGGATAAGTATATTTATAAAATATATATAAAAATATTTTCCAATAATCTGTTTGATGTTTAACGCTTTGATTATATCTGATAAATGCCATGTACAATCCTATTATTTATATTTTATTGTACAATTTATTATTTTTAAATAACACATTTTGTTTTAATAGTAATATTTTCATTTCGTTTCAGTTCTTAATTTCAAGGTTTACAGTGATTTTATTAATTTGTGGTTTTGAGAATTTATAATGGAAATTTTAATTTTTTCAATTTGAAGATAAAAATATAAAAATGTATATAATACGTTCGTATATTTGTCCAACTTTAATTTACAATTTAGTTCTTTTAAAATGTATGTATTTCTTGTATATATCAGAATCGAATGCTGATAAAGTGCTACATTGATAGTTCTCCGTGACATCGATGCTAATACGAAGTATCAATGGTACCAATGTAGTGGCTCTATCCGTTAGTTTCTCATGGAATTATACTCGCTTAACGAAGTACCATTCGAATTGCTGTGCAGGTTCGTTTACCCATGGGGCAAGACATGCTGCTCTGGTGCCGTATCGTGAAGATTCCGAACATTAATCAGAAACACCACGTCGTGAAGGTGAGTTCCTCCAGGTATATAACCCGTTTACGGTAGCTCGCGCGCGCCCGCCGCTCTCCGACTTGATTAAAGCGAAGGTGGATGCTCTTGTAATGCCGAAGAAACTGCACGTCGAGTTTACCGACTTGCCCCTCCTATCTCCCTCCCGTCTCGTCCTCTCTTCCCTATACGGGAGTTATCTTCTGCCTCGCGTGTTTTCGCGTCTGAAGATGCAACATCTTCAGGTAGCCATCCGATAAATATGCCGTGCAAAATGATAATCTAGAGGTTACAATGTTTTGTACCGAGTGTTTAATCATGGTCAACGGTTTCTCTTTTAGAGATATTCTAATGTATACTAGAAAGTACTCCTAAAAAGAATTAATTTTAATTCACAATCTGTGGCATCTTTGTTGGTAGTCTCTTAAATAATATTTTTCGATTATAAATAATATTTCTCTTATATTATATATAACATTTTTTTTAAAACGTTAAATATTTTTCAAACATTTCGAAACATTAAAAATTTTATATTTTCGTCTTTATAATATATTTAGATTTTTCTTATATATCCCAGTCAAGAATATATTTTGATTGTTAGAAGAATTTTTATTATTCTTATAGTTATATATATATATATATTTTTAATGCTGTGTAATTAAATACAAATAATACAGTCATGAAGTTTTTTACTTAAAATTTGTACAATTATTTTTTATGACAAACACAAAAAATATGCTAAAATACTCGCGTGCTCGTTTAATTAAAAAAAGATTTTCGATTTGCGTGCCGAATGCAAGTCGATTGATCAATTCGGCTGTGAAACTTCATCATAAATGAACGGAATGGGCGGATCTGTATGATGGCAGGATCAATGCGGTAGGCAAGATCATTTCGCCGTTCCGGCCGCCGCGCCGGTTTTCACTACCAACAATGACAGATCGATGCACGAGATGTCATCGGTAAATGCGACAGTGACAAAGCAGCCGGTCATAAACCTTGTATTACTGCCGCATATCGATTCACGTTAGTATTATATAAAGATTCATTTTAATGCAGAGAGAAGCGCACGATTCTCCAAATCGCGTGTTAAAAATCGAACTAGCAGCGCAAGACAGGCAGTAAAAGTTTGCATATATTCTACGCTTTCATGAATTCAACGCGATATTTTATTGTCAACAGAATCTGTTACGTTAATGTTATCCAATTTATTACTACTGTTTCGTTTTTGCAATCAAAACTACAGCGAATGGAAATTCTGTTATGATTACCGACTTTATTGTACTTTTATATATACACTACTCAAAAAAATTAAAATATCACTTGTTCCACCCTGAAAAAATAGGTAAATTTTGAGATAGAATAACTGCGTCAAAAATCATTCTATTGAAATGTTTCAAATAGTATTTTAAAGTTTGAAATCTCTACTTTTCAGACTTCAAAAAAACGGTCTTACTGATATTTCGTGAAGTTACACAAACATAAATAAAAGTGCGTCAACCCAAAAATTTTTTACGAAAGCGAAGTTCCACGGAGCCAAGCAAAAATTGTGCACAAATACGGTTTACAGCTTTCGAAAGAGTAAATCTTTACCTTTAATTTGCTTGTTTATTGACCTCGGTACGATTTCTTTTCATCGAGTTATTCAACGTTGAAGTAAAAATGACCTTTTTGTTTCAACGTTGAATAACTCGGTGAAAAAATATCATACAGAAGTCGATAAAAAAACAAATTAAAGGTAAAGATTCACTCTTTCGAAAGCTGTAAACCGCATTTGTGCACAATTTTTAGTTCATGCGGTGGAACTTCTCAAACTTCGTAAAAAATTTTTAGGTTTGACGCACTTTTATTTCTGTTTGTGTAACTTCACGAAATATCAGTTAAACCGTTTTTTGAATTACCGGTCTGAAAAGTAGAGATTTCAAACTTTAAAATGCTTTTTTAAAAATCTCGATACGATGATTTTTGACGAAGTTATTCTATCTCGAAATTTGCCTATTTTTGCAGGATGGAACAAGTGATCCTTCAATTTTTTTTGAGTAATATTGTATATTATTCAGAGTTTATAATTTTTATTGTGTCTAAAATGATTCACTCATGATGTCTCAAATACTTTGTACGTTAATAGACATTGTACAAATAACAAATAATAGAATCTCATTGTACAAATAGATTGATGGATATGCAGTAATGAAAATATCCTTCCGTCTATATTCTGTCAAGAGAAATTGGTTTTAAACCGATGAAAATTACATAATTAGAAAAGGTATAATTACTTAAAACTTTTGATATGGAAGATCAGGTAAATGTTACCTCTTTGCTATAAATTCTATTTACGTACTCGCCTAATTTTAGTAGACTTTCTATTCGACGTGAATTTTATGTTAGCGAATAATTTGGACGAGATATTTCCTCAAGTAATTCACGTTTAACGCTTCTCGAGTTATATTCTTCCTTTCTCGTAAAGTATATGATAACTCAATAAAATCTCACCTAGTTATACATTCTATTCGAATTTTATTCAGTTATTATTTAACTCGATATAATCGCGTCCTATATATATTATGATTAAACCGCAAAATTAGAATAAGTAAATGATAGAATATAGATAATCATCATCGCGTTAGCTAATTTATGAAATTTTTTAATATATTTTATTTGTATATTTTTACACAAATGAGGAAAATTATCGATAAAAATGGGTCTTGGCCTTAATAAAAAGGTTCCGTGTGAATTTTACAATTTCTTGTAAATTTAAGTGTCTATAAAGTGCGACTTCAACGTATATATTCGTGATTAGTTTTCCGTATAAAAATAACACACTACTGCGAGTTCAAATATCATTTTTACATGTAAAATTAAATAACATACATACATATACTGAAGTTACAATTTCACAAACTTGGATTTGTAGTGCATTCAAATAAATAAACTATTCGTCGATTATTTGTTGGTCTCGAAACACTTAATATTATTGGTATATTTCTATTTTATTTGCTATTGTATTCTATTTTTTATTACTCAATCTTGTATTCTCGTTTCTCCCTCATCGTATTTCAGCTCTTGCTGATGTTTATATCCGCACCGGTGTTTCCGAATAGGGTGTTGGCTCGGCTGGCTGATATAGTTCGCTCTATCTAGCGTCGGTCGACCGACCGACACCTGAATCTCGAACTCGATCGGACGTGACCCAACTACGCGATGCGATTGCTCTGTGTTCCTATCACGGGTACGGAGGCGGAAGAGAGGAAGGAAGGGAGAGAGGAAGGAGAGACGATTAGCGTTTCGATTGCGATAACTCAAGCGCTTAAAACGCAGACACCCGCCTCCTCCTTCGCATTTTACCGAACTTTTATTGACGGAGCACCAAGGTATTTCTGAGGTTAACAGTCGAGTGAACTGCCGTTAACCGTGGTATATCGGCGGGTACCTTAATTTGTTACTCCTATTGAAAGGTAAACGTGCCGAAACGGCACGTTTTCCCAACGCGAGAAATACCACGCGTATCGACTTGAGCGTCGGCGACACTACTCTTTGCCAATTTTGCGCTCGAACAGCTTTCTCCAAACTGTTAGAACCGACGCTTATTAAAAGTGCGAAGTGCTTTCCTTTTCCTTACTGCTGATAATCTATTATCCACTCGATTCGATGAATTCAATTTAGTTCAGACATTCGCTTTGCTTTAAATCGAAACGACGATGCGTCACGAAACTTTAAAAGAAATAAAGAATCTTGCAAAATTCTTTTTTCCGTTCACGGAATTAAGTTATACAAATAAACGACACAATCTCCGCTCGAAGTTTGCGGCTTCTTCGGTCAATTCAGCATCGATTCTACTGCGATAAAAGTGTCAAGATGTACGTTGTTCTTGAGTTATGAACATGTTACGAACACGACCAAAATGCGCTCGACATTAATCCTCGTTACGAGCTTGTACGCCTGTTCTATATTTCAGTACGAACCAGTTATTCAACCGGGAAGCCACGAATACCTTCACCACATGAACCTGTACGAGTGCCGCGGAGATCAAGCCGAATTGGAATCCGCGGCAGAAACGACTGGAGGTTATGTCTGTTATGGTCCTAATAGACCCGCACTCCACTGCAACACGATCGCAGCCACTTGGAATCTCGGTTCTGAGGTACGTCAAAAACTTCGCTTACATTTATACGCCGAAGACTTCGACGTGAGCACTAAAGTGCTGGTAAGTTGTGTCGGTAGTCACAGAAACTATCTGCTGCACAAAATTTCAAAAACGCACGAAACACAGAAAACGAAATATAAATTTTTCGATTTATTCATTTTTACTGATTGTAATAATCATTAATTAAAATTCTTTAATGATTTTGTCAATAATGAAATTATCCAATTATTTTATCAAAGTCTTCAATTCGGTGTCAGAGAATAAAATAATTTAACAAATTGTTTTCAAATCTATATCCAGTTAAATTTTTTAATACTTTAGCAAAACTGCTCTTTTCTTTTATATATAAATTATTTCATTATAAAAATTGAACAAAACTTTATGTAAATGTTACGGAATGTTTTAAATTCATTGTGTTTTGTTTCTGTATAACTTTGATCACCAGAAGTATCCATTGACCCTTTACTATGTAAACTTGACTTTTCGTGAAATATTGCGCGTGATCGTGCAAAGCACGTTCAGAGTTTCGTGATAATTCCGAGTGCGGTGTAATGTATACCAATGTGAGAACATGAATATCGCAAACTTGTTTCTTCGTGGTTATTGGTAATACGAACGTCCTGTGAAATTGCAACCGATCGTAAAACGTGTCATCTCATATGTGATTCTCAATAAATGACAAAATAATACTAATAATATGACATTAATTGATACAACCCGTATTATATATAATTTTCAATAAATAATGTACTCTAAACATTTTTACTTTTATTTTAATGTTTACGTTTTAATTTTTAATACTAAAGCAATATGGATATTGATAATACAATATTATACTGTATTATATTCAAACATTTATCAGATTATTCAGATTATTTTCAAAAATAGTGACGATAATATTTTTCGCCAATCTGCATTTATAGTAAATTATTAAATGATTATTATTTGAATCTCATATATACAAAAAATAATAAATAAAATGTCCACTGTGGACGATTGATTGACTATAAACGATAGCGAAATGAGAACGACCTCATTTGCGTTTGAATATTTGGAATTAAAATAAAAAATCTTATTAGTAATGCAAACACGTTTGGTGCTAATGATCGAAATTATTGAGACTATATTAATAAGATTTCAAAATGTGTTCTTGAGGCTAGCGATTATACAGCACGATTATTCCCCGAATTGGGCGGATTATTATCTCGCTCATCATCGGTACCTGAAAATTAAAATTAATCGGGCATAATTCGTGAGTACATGCACGCCCAATAAGGAAACGAATTCCATGAGCGACAATTTCCATCGGGGGCCCGTTCTGATGGGTCGAGGCGTATATCGATTATAGCAGACTTGAAACGTCGCTGGGGTAGGGGGCGGGATCAGACCGGACCAGATCGGACGAGAACGGGCTCGCGATCAGAACCGGACCGGCGTATTCGCTGCTGGTCCTGTTTTTATTTACTGCCAGCTTCTGCATAATCCATCGTTTCCTTCTCTCTCTCTTGCCGCACCAGGGCTTTAATTATCCGCCGGAGGCCGGATACGCACTCAATCCGTACACGGGGCCGCGCTACTTCAAGTTGGAAACCCACTACACGAATCCGCAGCTGGACGCCTTCATCAGCGACAGCAGCGGTCTGCGTCTTCTCTATACCGATCGACTGCGCGCCCATGACTCTGGTATCCTCAGTGTTGGCATGGACCCGAACTGGCGGCATATCATACCGCCCGGTCAGCCCGAGGTGATCTCCGAGGGCCACTGCATCACCGATTGCACCGCTCGGTTCATACCGAACAGCGGCATTAACATGTTCGCCGTGATCATGCACACCCACCAGCTCGGCAGAAAGATCCGCCTGCGGCTGATCCGCGCCAGCGAGGAGCTGCCGCTGATCGCCGCCGACACTAACTACAATCCCAAGTATCAGGAGTATCGAAGGCTTCAAAGACCGGTCAAGGTGTACCCGGTAAGTACAGTCTTAACGTGATATGCGATGTACGATGTACTGCTTATAATACTACTGAAAGATAACGTTTTCCAATAGAATGGTGATATTTTTTTTTTTCTATTAAAGTATATATAATGAATAATAATTATATTTGAAAAGAAGATATCGAATATTGCGGGCTCAAGTGGTGTTATACAGATTTCATTTTAATCGTTATATCAAAATCCAATTTATTGGCTAATTTATTAAACTTACTTCATCCTCTCTGCAGCGCGATAGCTAATGCAATTATGAAATATCCCCGATTAACGGAAGAGGATCGCGAAAAGACTCGAGAAAAGAAACTCGAACTCTATCCGCTAAGATTTTTTCTTTGAAAATAATCCAAGATTATTCTTAAGCGTTTCGCGAGCAACTTACGTCTTCTACAGCGATCCTTTAATATATTCTTATTTTTCTATTCTGTTTCCGCGGTGTTGCACGCTTTTCGTTTACTTGCCGCGAACATATTTCTAGCTATATTATAACCCGTAGCACGTATCAGAAAGTTTATGAGCTTGTTATAAAGTTTATTAACGTGCAATAAGTATAGCTTTGATCACGTAAAGTGCCGACATGCTACAGATGCAGGGCATGAACCTGAGTTTAATTGTTTGAACGAGCTCGAACAGGGTGGTCTTAAACGCGATTACGTGTTAACATAAAGTAAAAATAATTATAATAAAATTGAATTGAAGAGTAAGATCATTGAAAATCCATTACAATAAAGTATCGATATATGCATTGCGATTTTGCGATATCAATGCAAAATTTCACACTTCCACGTGTTATCACTATTTTTTAAATTGTTTTGTTAAGTTGATAATATATCGGAAGTTTTTAAAATTTTAAGATTCTTCGTTCAACTTGATGTTCACGTTAGATGATCTTTTTATGTTTCAGGGGGACCATTTAATCACCGAATGCACGTACTCGTCCGTATCTCGTACGGCCATTACGCTCGGTGGCCAGGGAATGAGAGAAGAAACTTGCCAAGTGTCCATTCTCTATTATCCTCGTATTGAATTATCCCATTGTTATTCATTGCCTTCGCTAACGACGGTGCTGCACAGCTTGGGAATCCAGAGATTAATGCAGTAAGTGACATTTTTTTACAAATTTATAGGCGTTTACGTCAACAAAAAATCGTATGATAAGATTATATGAAGTATCTTCATAGTTGAGAAAATAAGGAATGCTAGATATATTTTATATATTCTTAAACTTTTTGTAAGATTTCAATGGTATTTGAATTAATTGATTAATTAATTGTCGTCTAAAATTTATCTCAGACGTAAATTGTTTTACAATTTCTTACGTAATTGTATTTTAATTCATTTTTATCTCTTATTTTATCGTTATTATAATTTCGATTGGCAAATCGTTTATGCGGATGAGAGGAAAGTTGATAATGTAGTAATAGTTGTTGCATGTTACTGTCAATTTATATGACTCCATGTAAACGATGATCGTTCGACATTTTGATTAATCTAAATTAGTTATTAAGAACAACACATTACGAAAGTGCCAGTCGTTATTGACTCAAGGAGCGACAGACATTACCTCTCATCTGACATACTGGCTATTGCTAAGATACGAAATTCCTCGTAAATAATTCTTGATAAAATTTCCAAAGTTTATCGTTCTTTGTTCCGATGTTTATAATCAAAAATTTAATAGTATAATATATACCTATACATTTAAAATATAATATGTAGATAAATAACTACGGTATTCATTTTTATAAATGAAAAACCTACACGTAACATAATGACTAAATTGAAATATAAAAAATATAAATGTATGAACGGAAACATATATATATGTGTGTAAAATTATGATCGCATACTATTTGTAATTATACTGTTTATTTCACCCCTCCCGTTTTGATGTCAAGTAGTGCCCACGATAAGAGTTCTCAATGAGATGAATCAAGAAATGGGAGCTTCCTATATTTTGTGTGGTCCACCAATTTCATGTATAAATCACATGTATATATAAATTACATAATCGTATAATGCTCATAGACAGTAAGCATACATGTGCATAGGCAGACCAAACAAAGTTCAGAATTATTCTTATCTCTTTCTTATCACATACAAAATACTTGATATAAACAATCTAGTTATAAAAATCTGTGTGAGAGATCAGACATTGTTATTTTACGAGATACTTAAATTTTTGGCGTAGGGCTTCCAGTCCGGTGATGATTCAGGAGCCCGCGGACCTGAAGGGCATGACGCTCGAGGAACGACTAATCAGCTACGACTGGGACGAGAATTTCCGAAACTTCCAGGATGTCACTCGAAGTGGCACGTTTAAACCGTTATGTGCCACTAATAAAGGCGCTCTGGCCGCAACAGAAAGCATGGAGGTACACTACCCACGCATCCTCAGACCCTACGAGGAAGTGAGTGTGCCCTGTGCGAAGAAGCCATTGAGAAACAAATTATCGATGTTGTTGAGCGAGGACGGCGATATTGGTGAGCCCGCTGATCCTGACAACGCAGTCGAGCGGGGTCAATTGGTGCGTAGTAAAGTGTCCCGCAGCAGCGACGCGGGTCCCACAGCTGGTAGTTCCGGCGGTCGTACAGTATCGGCGGCAGTGATCCTGGCGGTCGTCACTGTTGTCGCCGGCGCTGCATTCAGATGAACATCCTCGCCAGACGAACGATCGTTCAAATACACTCGGATCTAGGATCGCCTTAATGATCATTCATCGCGATCGAATGGCGGATCGAGCAACAACAGCAAGTAGCAACTGGCGCATGCATATGTTCGCGTAAGTATACGCCAATCTCAGCAACGCGACACAGGCTTATATAAATGTTATTGTTCTCCAACCACAAGCGCATTTCCGGGAGCGTATTCAACTTTCGGGTAATTTGAGCGGTGGGCTCTTTTTTTCGAAGCAGGGTAACTTTTCCGGCATGACTAGCGACTGGCGCAATCTTCGTCGTGTACCATATCGTGTTTCATACTGATAGATAATGAAAGTTACTGCCATTCGTTACTCCGATACTGAATAGTGAAATGTTTAAAGTGAGGTAATCGAAGCTAACTCGAGATATATTTAATTTGAGAATGCTGAATGTGCTCCAAAAATTTTTGCCAGAATTTAATTTAGTTTAACGGTTTATATTTAGATTTTGTTGAAATTCATATTTAAAAATTGAATTTATTTAATTCCTAAAATAAGCTGTTCATAAATATACTTGCAACATGCGTGTATCGCGAAGAATTCGCCAGCCTTAGTCGAGAATGTCGAATTCCTGCGAGAGGAAGAGAAGAGGAAAAATTGCAAATCACCATTCGATTCGGTGTAGATGTAACCTATATACACATATTTATCATAGAAAATGTAGAAAAAAAATTACCGAATCCATGTTATCTCGACTTATAGGTGTTGAAATAAAATTATAGTAATTTTATGGAGGCATGTCATCGAAAATATCTCATTCTCATATGGTGTTCGATTTTATCCGTACAAGAAATGTTAACTCTCTCTTTCTTAGTACATGGCTGTATTAAGAAATATTAAAAATAAGGATAAGATAAAAGTATAAATCTAATAAAAAATGTATATTTTTTTATGATTTTTGAATTAAATTAAATTTAATTATCTCACTTGTCTTACAAAGAAATGGCTCTTTTGAAGAATTAACCTGGAAAAAGCTCTCCGTTTCACGTTTATCTCAAGGCAAATAATTCTACGAAAGTTATTTTCAGAAGAACCTTCATATACAAAAAGTGTATTAGATGTATGATATGGAGTTATTATTGTGCTGCATTTATTCAGAACGTTCTTCAAGTATTATAGACATTTTTTTATGTTGTTTAAAGTTTTTTTTTACATCGAGTTTTCAATTTTTTAATTTCGTTCTCGATAGCCTTTTGGAACTACACACGATTTTGAAACTCGAAATGACGATAATCAAATATTCATCTCGACATTTAAAAATCGTTCAGAAAGGAGAGAGTTAATGACTGGCTAACCGGAAACCGGATGTGCGGCATATTAATTTTCGTACGCGGTAAAACCGAGCACGAGAGATCGGATCTATCCTGTTCTCGTTTCGCGATCGGCTTTTCTCTTTCGCGACTTCCGTTCGCGCATATATACCATTGTTATATAACAGAAAATTTTTTGCGAGCAGTACTCTTCGAAACACGGTAAAAGCGGAAGTCCCACGCTCGAAATATCTATAAATTGTCGTGACAGTTTTTCACTTGAAATTTATATTATTATTTATATTCGGGACATTTGCATTTACCATATTCGAAGTACGCTGTTGCAAAAAGTCTATAATGTCCCGCGTGCTCGCGTAGAATTACTATAGTGGGATATTTCTCGGATACGAATACATCGACTCTGTCGTACTGTAGCTGCAGCACATTAGGAATCAATAAGTAATGCAAATTGCGATGGAAATGAATAACACGAGAACTTCCTTGTTCTTTATATACTACACATTCAATGCTTCGATATATTGGTTCACAGTAATAATCAAAACTTCAAAGACATTTTATATATATGTATTATAAGAAGGGACCTATAAATAATTCTGTTTTGTGTAAACTTATTTTTAAAATTTTGATAAAATGTAAAGGAGAAATGAATTAAATATATTGAATTATGAACTGCGATTATAATTAATAAATAAGATATTATGAAAAATTATAATAATAAAATCAAGTAACATTTTATTTTTAATAATAACTTGTAATTAAGAGCTAAACTTTATTGTAAAATGTTGTAAATATTTATTATATTTATATGGAAGATAATAATCGAAATCATACGAGTTCGTTTCATACAAATGTATTTCCTATCATTGAATACGAAAGTGACTAGAAACTGCACTATTCATTTATACTTTAAATTGATTAGTTTATTTGCGATGACATTGCCTGATAAAGTTGCTGTTCATTGTCGTTGCATATGAGTCATTTTATCACCATCGATTTTGAGACACTGCCTTGCCACTCCCACATGACTCAAATCTACTTTAATTTTAAGTTGCATTAAAATGTATCTATTCCATCTTGATAGGTGGAATAGATAACATTTAATAATGAAAGCAATGGAAATACCGTTTGATTTTTTTACGTACGACTTCTTTGACTGATGATTTCGAACGAGAAATATCCTAACAAATTTTCGTCGATAATTATTATCGACAGAGTTGAATATTAATTTAAAACTTCTTTCGAGTAATCGTAAGAGTTTAATTGTTGGCTGTTTATTTACTGTTCGAGAACCGGGCGAGACGTCGCGATTTTCGCGAAAGAACGTTTCGTGAATTTATTTTTTAGGATACGACTTATATGCTTTCGTCGAAGTTTTTCCACAGTGTAGTACACTTTCCAATTTAATTTAAAGCTTTGTAATTGAATTTTATTTGCTAATAAAATAATTATATACATAGAAGATATGATTAAATTATTGAAATTTGAAAAATATATTATATAACTTCCAAGTTACATGACGTTAAAGACTTGCTGATAAATTTATATAAAATGCAAATTTATAGATATAATTTGCACTTTCTTGTGAAAGGGAAAATATAAGATCGAATCAAACTGAAGAAAGTTAAACAAATCGAATGAGATCAATATTTTTATGACAACACTTTCATCCAAATTTCAATAATTTTTTCATATCAACTTTTAACAAAAAATTAATTTAGAAAATTAAAATTCTGAAAGTTTTTTTTGGTTTTACGTAAGGAACATAAGCCTGTTATAATAAAAATTACTCGTAAAATTGCTCGGAAAGCGTTTGGGAAACACTGTTCTTGACGACTTCGGCGGTCACGCAATAAATATGTGCGCGCGCTTCACTACGTCGTGCTCGCACGGTTCTCGCCGAAGTCTGTATATTTTGTTAACTAGACTGTAGCGATAAAGGTGCATTTTTTACAAAGGTTGTATAAGCATTGGTTGATTTGCACGCGATGGTAATTTTGTGCGAGAGAATCTAACAACGTCTCGCTATCAGAATCTTATTTCGTAATCTCTTTCGTTGAAGCGTTTTACGAAAGGGTGTGTTACTTAACCAACGTTTATATCTAACTATATAAATGGATATGTTATATATATATTATATTATACCCGCGACGACTCTTTGTAACATTCTGTACAGTTTATTACGTGTAACGCTATTTACGCGTGCTTGTCAACGTCCGTTGTCGTATATATGGACGGTTATTTATTTTTTATTTAATGTATAAAGCGATGTAACTTGCGACTTGACATATTTCTCATTGTTGCGTACACACATTCATACAACACGCGTACACAGATACGCACTTTCGAGATTTTGAACAAGTCCAACACACACGGGGACACTCGATTTCAGGATAAATTGTGTGATTCTTATTAAATGTATTATATATTCATATTAGGGATATCGAAGAGTAATCGATATGCGCTTGAATGCACGATAATTTACGATTGCTCAACGTTATAAGCTAAGTTATCATTTATAGATTAGATGTAAATTCAGCGATTTTGTAACAATTGTATTTTTTTATAACAAAGTTATTCAATTTTACCAAAGTTCTCTGTTTATTTTCTGTTTACTGATTAATTAATATAATTACTATTACCATTATAAAATCGTTATTATTATCCGCATCCTTCAATCAGTTGCACGAAACAAATTAATATAGATGACGTGCCTAGTAAACTCGTGAACGTTCTCAAGGGCCAAACGAACGTTTTGAACGATACGATCTGCATGGCGATTTGCATTCGATTCGAAAGCTTCTCCTGATAATTTCCATTTAAATGACTCTCGACTCGGATTTGTTCTTTATTCTACCTCATTTCGAAATCAAACGAAACGCTAGTGTCCCTAAACACGCGCTGTTACCGATTTCAATTTTGCACCGATATTAACAGAAAAAAGAAAGAAAGAATGGAGAGTTTTGTTAGCTAAAATCAAGTTGAAATTTTTTTCATCGAATTCGATGTTAGATCGAAAAATATCTCCTCCATCCCCCTTCTATATAATGTAGATGTGACTAATCGGTATCGGACACGTATTAGGTACGTTTACAATTTAATATTAACTGATAAATGTCATAAGAGAATCTGTGTGTGTGTAGAGAAGATCTTAGTACAATCGAATGGCCGTATTTTAACCCTTGAGTAGTCGGGATTCTCGAGTCAATGTCTCGTAATATATCATTTAGTAGCATAACATATTTCTGCAAGCAAAAAAATTGAATCTGTGAAAAGAGGAACCAATTATAAAATTATGTTATCGAAGCACATAATAAATGACTTTACAAATGTTATTTTTATGTTCATAATTTTTTGGAAAATTATATAATTATAATTCATACCACATAAGATACACGGACTTCGATCGTCATCGACTATTTAAGGGCAAATAACGCGAAAATCATTCATTCGTAACCACGCTGTAATTATCGAGTCGAAATTGCTGAGAACTGCAGTATACATTGCTTCACAAATATTTTGTTCCGATTGGACCCGGTTCAACGGCGTGAATGCGGGGAACTATATCCTGGCAATAGAAAACGATCGGCGTTGCCGGACGATAAATCCGCGTATGACGTCACCTCCTAACCGTGCTCGATGGTACTGTACGTAGTTATTTGGCAAACTATTTTCGATAACTCG